CCCCTCGCAATGTGAGGGAATTGCGAGACCAGTTGGTGAGCGCTTGGTACCAGATACCTCAGACCACCCATCAGCAGCTTGTGGAATCAATGCCACGGCGGGTGCTAGCAGTTTTGAGGGCTGAAGGTGGTCCCACATGTTATTAGCAGGGTGGTCATAGTGTAATGGCTCTTCGGTGTATATTTATACATATAACATTATATATTATATTATATTACATTGATTCGGCTTATCAAATATTATTACTAATAAAAAAATGTGTAGCAAGTGGATTAAGTGAGCAGTTTAAAATATTTCATTATTGACTGAAGAAGATAAAAAGATAAGTATTAATTTTAACACAATTTTGACTTGTTGTTGCCTTTCTTTAATTTCCTATGTTCTTCAAATCGAAATTTATTTATTTACTCACCATACACAAAATAAGTAAACATGCTTCAAATTCCATTTATGCGGATTATTCACAATGCAAGAAACTATTCCTTATCATTTGTGACGCTTTCAAACATATTCCCTTGAACTGAGCTCATATCCCTCGGAATGAAATGACACGTGATCATCAATCTTTCTCGTTCATTGTTTTGCAATTTCTGAAGAGCCACCACCGAGAAGAAGATCATGAGTAAAGGCGAAAACTATTGATCAAATGCGAAAAAGGGGCGTTTTGAATATGCAAGCACAAACGCCACGGTTGAAATACGCTTCTTAAGTAAAAGTTGATGCGGGGAAATTGTTTTCTTTCAAGTTCTTCTTTTATAAGTTGTCTGTTGCTCTAGAAACTAGTTTTAAATCAAATGCAATTATTTCTAGGTTTGATAAATGTGAAAGTGCGTTTGTTGCAGCAATATATTATTAGTGTCACAAGAGAAAATTTATAAGCTAGGGATGTTACTATAAGCTAGTTTTATAGCTGCTACAGTTGTTTTCAGTGAGAAAAGAATTCTTATATAATTTAAGAATTTAGGGTTTTTATTTTTATTTTTTAGAATTAATCGATTGATGCCCAACTCGATTTTTTCTTTTATGGTTTGGATAATAATATAAAATGTCGAAGAAATAGTCAGGAAATTCTTAAAAATAATTATGTTTTTCTTATTTTTAAAAATAGTCCAAATTTAAATAAACATTTGAATAAGATTTCAGAGTGTGTAATGATCTTTACTGAAGAAAACACAAGTCAAACACAAGCTATAGGCAAGGCACAAGTTGGTTTCTTTTAAGCTTTATTTAGCATCGTATGATAAATTCTTAAGGGCTAGGTTTCCCTTATCATAGTCTTGGGGTTTGGTTAGCAATTTTGTTCGCAATTATGTTATGAAAAAGCCACGCATTTTCAACGGCTCCCGTTATTTAACCAGGGATTCTGAAAAGGAATTGTTCGCAAGAATATCCTTAGCTTAATCAAACGGGAAAATTTAGAGATCTTGATTTGTTCAAAAACATGACGCCATTTATTCTATAAAGAATTTTCGGAATTTTTTTTAAATGAGTATTTTTATATTAAATTTTACCCATTAACTTCAAAAAATAGTCTTTTAATTGGCATCTTGAATTTTTATGGATCTTTATGAAAGAATTATTTCTACGTCTTAAAATTAAAAAGAGAAATTTATTTTAAGTTTATTATTACATATATAAAAACTCGTATGAAACATTCCATATTATATATATACTATATTTAGAGTAGCAAATGCTAAATTATCTATAGAATCTAAATGACTTAAGTAATAAAAATTCACAAACAGAACAGGTTTCTTCTGACACTACACTTAAAACTGTTTTAAATTTTACCTTACTTAAAAACTGAAAAATGTACCGGGATTCTGTTTCTATGGGAACAGAAATCTCATTAATTTTTACCGAGGTGCTTTGGTAATGATTTTGATAAAATTAACAACAAAATATGCTTTTATGATATGTGAAAAAATTTGCTAGTTTTCTCATGATTCCCTGGATTATGGCATAAAAACCATTTTTTGATTAAACTTACTTTTTAGTTTTATAACTTTACTAAATATGTGGTAAAAATTATAATTTTGAAAACTGGAATTTCCTGTAAATTGTTGCCACATGAACGGAAAAAATACCAAATAAATGGTTTGAATAATGCATATTCTGTTTTTATTAATCGCAATTATGTTTTTTTTTAATCAGTAATGTCGGAACCGTGCATTATGACAATTTTAGCAGAATGTTTTTCTTAAAAATGCAAAATTAGAAACATTTCATTAAAATATTTTTTTCTTGTTTTGTTTTAAGTTTTATTAATTTAGTTATATTAATTTATCGTACCGTTTGCTATTGATTCATTAAGTTTAATATTAAGAAAATTAATGAATCCCTAATTATAGAACTATTGATATTTTATTTTCAAGTTTGTGGGGTTAATTGTGAAGTAAAACAGTGTAGTAATTGTGAAGTAAAACAGACAGAAAACAGCGTATATGCTTGTGTATGCTAATGACAGAGGTATGCAACCAATCAGAGAGACGTGATGCGATCGCAAAACGTATAATATAAAAACTAGCGAATTTGTTAGATCAGCTGTTGCTGCTACAATGGCAGGTTAACAAGATTTAAGTGAGGTTTAACGTCATGTTTCAGTGAGGAGATTTGGTTTATCATATCCGAGATTGAGTAGAAAGTGTGATTTTCACGTATTGATACAAGTGAACTGGGAAATTTCATGAATCCAAAAACCCGGAATCCAAGACAAGGGTGTATTCCTGATCTCTTACCGACGTAATGAAGCAAAGCTTTACGCTCTTATCTTGGATACATCAACATTGTAAACGTTCTTTGTTGACAGCTGAAAACACGCTGTCTATTCCGAGGAAACCTAGTTTCCTAATGCATGGACTTGTACGGGTATGGAGACAACATTGTGAATTTACATGGATTCTGTTTTTCAACACGGAGTGTTAGAATGGATAGAGATTCCTTAATGGTAGAGAGCTTCTGGATTTGGCATGATGGACGCTCCAGATGTCTCCTATCTTTCGGCATAATATGACGCTCTGTAAGAGTCTAGATACAATAATGGAGTGTGACTGGTAGGAAAACATATGATCTGATCACCTTGATCACCTTCTTCAACTTAGTAATATCCATTGTGCATTGAGGCGGACTTGGGCAATTTTTGCTCGATAATGCAACGTTCCACACATCGAGACTTGCTACCAAGTAACTCCAAAAGCACTCCTCAGAGTTTAGACGCTTTCATGAACTATAAATCTTGCAAAACATGATTATTATTGATCATACATAATTCTTGCAATGGGAAATCCTTGCAATGTGCTCTTTAGAATAGATATTTATCACATCGGATTCAAATGATTTAGTTGACTGTCTTGCAGGATTCATGGTGTGACAGGTGCATAACTTCAAATATGAGTCGAGTCCATGCCATTTTGTGACATGGCATTTCTGCGTGCTTCTGAGAGCCCTACGTCGTTTTATACATGCATGCAAGTTAATTCTTCAGCGTATTTTGTTGTTGGGTTTATTAATTTTCATTTGAGTAATGAAATAATTATGTTTTTTTTTGTACAGTAAGTTTTTACCAAACAAACATTAAACTTGACTAGTTTAAAATACATGGTAGCTGCATAAGTGTATGTAAACTAGTAACTAAAATATGTTTTTCTCCCAAAAGTCTCCGGCAATACAACGTAAGAATTTTCCTTTTAATGTAATTTACCAAGCATAAGAATATAAGACATTTGTATAGACTATTTAAGTTTTGAAAAAAAAAATATTTACCAATATATATGTACATTACATGTACCAATATATTGGGTGTACAAATTAGTTCGGTCCGTTTTCAAAAGATGGCTCTGGCTGTTATGAATGTTTCATAGTCACAGCTGGTTTCGGTGGTTTCAGAGAGGTTAGACATCGATCAATAATATTCAGTTTATATCGCTTTGAGTTTCATACAAAAACCCTGTTTTTTACTTTGTTGAATGTGTCAAATTGTGTTGCAACTAAGCAGCATTTGCGGGAGGCTTTATGTTTCTGCTTTGATTAGAGGAAAAGTGCAGCTGAAGCACATCGAATGCTTGTAGAAGTTTATGGTGACAATGCTCCATCTGATAAATCATGTAGGGAATGGTTTCGACGTTTCAAGAATGGTGAATGGTGAAAGAAGAATAGTGAAGTGTGTTGTATACTATGAGCTGCTACAACCTGAGGATTCCATTACTGGCTATCGGTATAGGCTACAATTGATTCGTTTGAGTCGTGTATTACGAGAAAAATGTAATACGAGCAAAGAGATGACAAAGCTATTCTTCTGCATGGTAACGGTCGGCCTCATGTCACAAAAGCCGTAAAAAAAAATTTGGAAGATCTCAAGTGGGATAGTTTGCCGCACCCACTGTATTAATCGGACATTGCTCCTTCCGATTACTGGCTGTTCCAACGGATGCACCATGATTTGGCAGGTCACTGATTCACTTTATTCGTAGAAATCGGAAATTGGCCCCTAACTTGGAACGCCTCAAAAGACGAGACATTTTTTCGAGATGAAATTCAAAAATTGCCTGAAAGGTGGGGAAAGGTAGTATCCAGCAATGGACAATACTTTGATTAATCTGTTCAATCATTTTGTTCAAAAATAAATGCATTTTTGACCACAAAAAAACGGACTGAACTAATTTGTATTCCCAATATTTTAAAAATATTTGCATCTGAATAAATAATTGCAAGATTTTTTCTCATTTTGTGACTAGGAAAACAAACTTCAAAAATAATGACGTAAAACTATCAGACAAAATGTTTAATTTTCACGAGAAAAATATTTTTTTTTATTTTATAATTAACGTAACATTATTTTTAAATATCATATCCTTATCTATTTTATCTTTATCGTATCGTCAATTTACATTCTGCTTATACATGTTTGGTTTACTAATTACTTTCAACAATATTTAAAAAATTGTACAAAATGATACTTATTGCAGTTTTTAGTGTGAACAATATTTTTTAATATCTTTCAGGCTCTCATCACAGAAATTTAAAGCTGGAACCAGCTGGGCATTTCCACGCACTCTTCACTGGTGACAATTTTTTTATTACTTGTGCTGCACCACCAAATATAGGAGCCACAAGATTGACATGGCAAGCTCCGAATGGAAGAGACATCACTGTTAGCACAGGAAGGTAAGTTTTATATTCATATCATTATGTACCTATTTAACATTGCAAAAATAGAAAGAAATGTAGCTGCAGAAAAAAAGCACTGTTTTAAAATGTTTAAATATTGCAAGTTACAGAGCACTATACTTGCAGATTTTACATACTTTGTACATTTTATATATTATAGTAGTTTTCACCTGATGATTGGAGATGTTTAACTTCTTAAAAATCCCAGAGCAATTTTTATAGTATTGCAACTAATTTCTACTAACTGATTACTTTTTTCTACTAACTGATTAGTTTTTTTTTTTCCTTTTGCATGAGGTTTTTTAACAAATCTTAGATACATACGTAATCACTAATTTCATTTCTGCAATTGGTTTCCCTCTCGAAGCTACAGTTTTTTAATGACATTTTCAGTCCGTTTTTTGATTAAATTTACAAGATTCAAAACGATATATGTAAAAAGGGGGTTGCATAAATGCTGCGATCAAAATCTATGGGAGTTAGGGAACATTATGAGGATTAAAATTGCATAATCGGAAATATCGTTTGCGGCTAGAGGTCGTTTCTGGATTAAAATGTCAGTTAAAAGAGCCTGTAGCTTTAGGAACAGAACTAATTCCAGATCTTAAATCCTCACGTCTGAATTAGGAAAGATCAATTATTTGTAGGAATGCAGCACAACATTTGTTCCCCAGTATTATTAACTTATTAGCTTCAGTATATATTGACTAAACAATAGTTAAAGATTTAAAGAACAAAAAAAAAATTATTCTTGTTTACACTATAAGATTAAATGGAACTTAAACTACGCGTCTTACAAGCTGCACTTTCAGATTTATAACTGCTGATATAGCACTTAAATGAGACTTATCTTAAACGATATAGAGTGTTGCCGGGGCTAGTATTAACAATTTAGCTTAGGCAGGATAATGATTCTTGGGCTAAAGGTACGAAGTGAATTGTTTGGAATTGTTATGGTTTGTGAAAGTGAATAAACAGACAAATGGCAAATAGGCAAAGCTTTCTTCTCAAATGATGCAAGGTATTAAAAATAGATGTTAACACAAATCAAAAGGCGTGATGGAGGATATATGCTTACAGGAGATGAAAAAACGCATCGTGTGCATGAAGATTTCCATCGCTGCCAGAACACACAACATAAAAGGATTGCAAGGTCAGAATATCATGTGACCCCATTGTATTTCTTATAGTGCAGCCTTACGTGTAAAATATGCATTAAAACAGTACTTTATAGAGATTTTAGGTGATTTAGCAAATCAAAGTATATCAATTAATTACTTCATTAAAAATATTAATATTATAATGATGATCTCCATTTTTAAACTAAATAATCTAATACGGAACAAAATTAGATTATTTATCCATAACTAAGTTTAATAAAAAGTTTGAATTGGTATGCATTTATTTCATATTTATGTATTTAATGCTTTAAACACATTAATGTGTAGATATTTGATGCATTAATATATTACTGTGTAAGCATTTAATAGATTACATTAAATTACAATGGAAGTGCTGATATTAATAATTGGGATTTATTGAAAAGCGTAACACCAGAATAATGTATTTCCTTTCAAAGTATGTAAACACCTTTATCTTAAAAAATGTAATAATATCTGAACTTAAATTCTCTCGTAATTTTACAAATAATTAATCTTACATTAAAAATAGAAGCAGATTTAATAGAATCATACGCAGTAAAAAGTTTTCGTGTATCTGAACACCTAAAATGGCGGCAGTAATTTCAAGCCAAATCAGTTTTCTATTAAACCAAAATCCCAGGGTAGTTCCTGGTGCTTCAAATACCTAGAATGTTCCACCTTGAATTTGAAATACCCAGAACATGTAGAATGCAAATACCTACATTACTTGGTGCAAAGTTTCCGCCACCAACCACTACTTTTGCTTAGGAAGAATAAAATTTATCATCGCAGTAAGATATGACGTAAGATATGACAAACATAAGAAGAAATAAAATTACTTTTACGAAACAATAGAAAGTAAGAATAGTAATTTGGGTTGGATAGACTTTGACATAGAGGTTAGGCAGCTCCAAGAAGCAGGGCACATCGACCAGAGGTCTATTGTATTCAAACCCTAAATCAATAACAATTAACAAGAAAACCTTATGGCTGAAATGAAATTCAGCAAATACCTAACAGAAACATCTTGCTTTTCCCAAGCTTAATGCAGTGCTGCCCTAAATGCTCAAATCTCTGAGCAGAATAGACATCACAATCACAAAGTATATGTCGTAAAGTCTTCTCTTCAAGATGACAACCTCTACAAAGAGGATTAAATTCAATACCCATAACGTATGAGTGTCTCCTGAGGATGCAGTGTCCAGTGAGAAGATCAATGATCTTCCTCAAGCTGTTCCTGTTTAGCTAAGAAGCTCTTCTTGACGCACACTAGGACAGTCACGATTCAGCTTCTTAGCTTGTCTCTGTCGAACTGTGTTGAACCATTGCTCATGGACAATTTTACCATGGAGCTTAAAATATAGATGCCCTGAATGATCTAGGAGAAATTACCAAGTCTTGTTAAAGGCCCCAGAATATCGCACTAGAGCCAGACCGTGCTGTTCTATCAGCTAGCTCACTTCCAAGAATACCCATATGTGCAGGTACCTAAAGTAGGTATACCTTGTTATAAGTAGAGAGATCACAAAGGATCGAGAAGCACCCACACTTATGAAGAGGTGACTTTACACCTTGATAGTGTAGAAGAGCAGCCTGACTGTCAGAACAGATGTGAGTAGACATATTTTGATATCCCCTGTTTAAGCATATCTTGCAGCACAAGACAATGGCATAGACCTCTGCCTGAAATACTGTGGCATAACTACCTAAGGTAAAGTGAAGTTTGGTGCTATAATTGGAGCAATAAGTCAATATGGGTTGGATACTAACAATAATTCTTAAAATAAAATGAGTTCGTAAATCAAACATGCACATAACAGAGAGAGCCCGCGGATCGCCTGGTTGGTAGGGTCGTGGTCTCGATCCTAGCCGACATAATACTCCCCGCGTAGTAAATGGTGACTGGTGCACGTTAAATTTGCTTAGCCACAAAGTCCTCCATGCTCCCATAGCAGATTATACCTCTGGAGTACAGAATTATAAATTATCTGGTTTGAGTCAAAACTACGAACTGTGGATGAATGAGTGGATGTATCAATGGTCCCACGATATAAACGGGTTGTGAGGTGTCTGTGGCTGAAGTCGTATTCCTGTCCATAGATGGTGCCACTGAAAAACAAGAAACGCCTCATCTGCCTTAAATTTGTTCGGTTTCAAACATATTTATTAGCAAGTGGCATTAGAAACAACAGAAATAACACAACAGAGAGAATAATATTAAGACGAATTTGAACTAGGCTTAACAAAATAGGAACTGATAGAAATTATACATTGAAAAATTATACAGAGACTTGAAATTTAATATATAAATAGCATTAATACACAACTAAGACATACATAAACTGTAATTTTTGGGGAAAGAAAGCAACTTTGAAGACAGTCATAACAACTCGCCAAATCGTTATCGATTGTTAACGATTGCAGACGAAATCAAAACACGCCAATATTAAAGTTTACGGAAGCGAAAATATTTAACGGATAGTGTAAAAGCGAGAGATCTTCGTGTAAACTTTTTGCATTTTCGGTGATTAGAGTTGCTACTTGAAAAAAAGTGTCCCTTCACACAGCTTTCGGCTACATTCAACATATAATTCAGAGATGTTACACTACACATTGCATAGAAACTTTAATCACTTTATATTTTTATTATTTATTGGTGCAATTAATTTGATACCTTAAATGTTTACATTTTATCATTATTGGAGCTCAGTAATAATTATGGTAAAATTAACAATAAAATATTGCTTAATAGCATGCGATAAAATTTGATAAATGTGGTAAAAGTTGGTAGTTTTATAATTTTTGCTTTACAGGTTTACATTTTTTACTAAATGTCTGGTAATTGCAATACGGCTTTGAAAACCAGAACTGTCGATGAACCGTTACTATATGAACAGAAAAATTACTAAATGAATGATTTAACTTCCGTATATTTTGGCTTTAATATAATCAAAATTCTGTTGTTGTTTTTTTTCTGAAAAAAGAAAGCTGGAGATTTTATTACTATACAGTACGGTAATTTTACAGGTAATTTTTTCTCAATGAAGATCTAAATTAGTATAGAAAAAAAAGTATTGGTTCAAATTATTAGCATAAAAATTAAATCTGGGTACGCGCAAATTGATAACTAAGCATTCTTACACAAAAATAAACTTAAGAGTGATTAATAAAAAAGTTGTATAATTATTTTCATTTATTATTCCTATTTATTATTACAAAGTCACAATAAGTTTTGATAACTGTAATTACTTTACGATCTACATGTACAGTAATAATTTAAATCTTAATGTTCTTATTTTTATAACTAGACAATTTTATCTAGAAACAAATATCAAAAATAAATTAATAAAATTCAGATTCCTAATTTACGTATAAAAACTTTAAACCTTAAATAATACTATTACAAGATAGCCTAACCAAACGGAAAATATTAATAGCGATTAATAATCGAGTTATTTTTGAGCTAGTCCTATAAAAAATTGAACATTAATTTAAGTAAATAATTAAATACACTGAAGTGAGTAAAATACAATTTGATTAAAAACACTTATTCGCTTCAAAAATATATAATTCGAAAATAACAGTCAACATGTTTTCAGCGCTTAAAAACGATACCAATTTTCATGACTTGTGTCTTTTTTAAGCGAATAAAGCTTTTTAATCAAATTAATTTAATTTCTTTGCATACACGTTTAATCTTGATTTGCATACAAATTTAATCTTGATTTACATGATTCTGTAAATATATAATCTTTTATAAACAAAAAGCTGGATTTTTTTAAACCGGAAAATGTCTTATAAAAATATTTAATCATTAAATATTTTTATTCCAAAGTTTTACATATCGAATTAAACTTTAAATGCTAATAATTATAGATAATTGAAGGAATAATTTCAGTAAATTTTATTAGAATTACAGTTATGCTAATTAATAAAAATAATTTAATGCTAATTCAAAATATTTGCTTACAAGTTAAATCCTTATTTTCGTATTTTCATTAATAAGTAATCTCATGCAAACATAAAACTGAATTTTTCAAGAATGAAAACGTCATATAAAATGCTTTAATCATTACATATTTATTTCAGGGTGCATGTTGAAGCATCGCCTGATGATCCTTATGGGTTAGAGTTAGTTTTTGAAGACGTGAAGTACGAAGATAGAGGAAAATACGTGTGTTCAGCTATCATAGATAGAAGGGAAGCTAAAACGTACTTCGTGCTTACAGTGTACCGTACGTACGTGTTTTTCAAAGTATCACATAATACTGATTTTAGCACAAAAAATCCTAATAAAATGTTACTAAGAAATAAAAGTCAAAAAAATATATATTTCCTTACTACTTTGAGAACTTTTTTGAAAACGGGGAAATATTTTTCAGAATAAAATATGTGGTTTGGCAGGTACTTGAAAAGAACATCGAGAAAGTCTTAAGAATACTTTTAAAATTAATGTTATCAAAAGTACTCCGACACCAGGGTTTTTATTGTTGGAAAACAGTATACTTACCTTCAAATGTATGCTGATTTTCTTAACAATTTTAAATTTTATTTTTTACACAAATCAAGTTAATGATCAAGTAAATATAATGATCAAAGAGGCACTTCCGGGTTGGCCAATTGTGAAACCAAAATGGTCAGGGACGTTAAGGCTCCAAAATTTCTTGACCAACGGCATGAGCCCCCACCAGGGTTTGAAACTTACAAAATGACAGCTCAGGGACATTGCGGGTTAAGACACTTGCAGTTTTTATTCAAAAATAATCAATAAACATTTAATACATTTCTTATGAAAAATTTGAAAGCGCATTTAAAGTAATTATAATTGAAAATTATTATTTAGCTGGCTGTGAAAACAGTTTGACTAGATATCAATATATTTCACACAACATATTTAACTGATCATTCATATATATATATATATATATATATATTTGTAAATGGTATGAAATTAATCATGATTAATACATCTTATCTTTTGTATATTATTTATTTCAATAATTACGTAACATTCCCAATTGCATATGCTATTCCCATACCAGTACTTCCTTTATTTAAGTAAGTTTTTATAATTTACTGCCATACAGTAAATAACTTTCATCTTTTAGTTTCATCCTACTTGATTTGAGTTTTAATTGTAATTAATAGAGCTGAACATTCTAATTACAATTCTGGTTCTTAAATTCGAAATGAGCAAGTAACTTTTAAATGAGAAATAACAAGCAAGAGACTGTAATTTGTACAAATCAGGAGCGTCTTAAAGAGAAAAGCTTTCGGAAATTTTAATTAGACACCTAAGCTGTAAGGAAAAATTAATTACTCTTATTGTTTGCCTGTCAAAATTGCTTCGCAATGAAGTGTATGATTCTAATGTGTAGTTTGTCTATCTCGAGTTGAGCTCGTATCCTTATTTTTACATTGTTTGTTAAGTGAACTCTTGAAGATCTAGTTAATAAAACGCCGGAAGTCTACACCTTCCTTTATATCCTTTTAGTTGAATTGTGGATTTAAGGTTATTTTTATATTCGCAGTTAACGTAGGAGTAAAATATTTTTATTTCTAAGAAAATAAACTTTTAACAACAGATTCATTCGAAACTTTACTCTAGTTTTTAATAATTATTTATTAATAAACCAAAATTACATATTATTACTGAGTGTTTTCTGAAATTACACCTCAGCAACAAGTGATGATCAAAATTATAAGAGTTATTATCGAGTTCAATCACAGTAAATATAGAAATGAAATCATTAAGACTTATTTATTTATTTTTAGAAACTTAAAGGTGTTCTTAAAAATTATTTTACTGTAAAGAATTGTTATTTCTTTTGCTTTATTTTGGTTAGGTTATTAGAGATCCCGAAGAATCAGGATTACGTAGAATCCCACACCGATGTCTTCAGGATTAGTCCCGTGAGGTTAAGATATCAATCTCGCAAAACCTAAACTTAGAAACTAAAATAATTCTTCTCTTTTGAAAGAAAGCTTTTACCGATATCTGAATTGTTAAAATTTCTGGTGGTAGATAATGATGGAAATATGATAATAGAAACGAAAAGTGAATGTTAAAAAGAAGCTTTTTACGTGTATACCAAATATTAATTCTCTACTAAAAAAGTGTGCACCGTTTGCAAAATATTTAAAAATGAAAAGGTCCTTCTTTAAATTTAAAGCTTTGCAGAAATACGAAAAATAAATGCTCTATCATTGATATAGCTATCACTGATTCTGGATTGTAAGACAAAATCGGACAATCTATTGGACATAATAGAATAATCTTCAATTTAAAAAATTCCTTTCAAAAATCTTTTATCGATATAAAATAGGCAAAAACTGTTTTTGGGTAGTTTTGTGTCAAACTTCTGTAATTCTACACATCTCAGAATAGCTGTCGAAAGTTTTTACTAACGCGACGATAACTATTAACAGCTGATGCCGTAATGAAGTTTTTCTTTCATTATTAGGCAAATACTTTCTTTTTGATGATAGTCAGACGACAGACTTAAATGAATTTTTTAAGATTGCACTTGAAATTCACAATCAACGGAGAAGGATGAATACGAGCAGTGTTTTGCAGTATCTGCGTAATCTTGGACATCCCTGATGCTCTGGATACGAGCTTCACAATTTTTTTTTCAAATAACTAAACCTCATGAAAATAAACAAGAATTTTATCTGCAACAAAGATAATAAAATGACATAATTATTCAATTAGAAAATGGGGATGAATATGAAAACAGGGACACTGGAAATGGAAAGATTGCAATAAATACCATTAAAAGATGAGCTAAAGTCAGCCATTCGCAATTGCTTGGAATCCTTAGAGTTCCACAGAAAGACTCAATAATCAACAAAGAAATGAAATTCGTAGAAGAGTTGGATAACTCGATACTGTACTTGAAACTGTGTATAAGTCTAGGGGAATGGGTGATCACCATAAAAGTATTAAACGATGAGCTAAAATCAGCCATTCACAATTGCTTGGATTCCTTAGAGTTCCACAGAAAGATTCAGTAATCAACAAAGAAATGAAATTCGTAGAAGAGTTGGAAAACTCGATATTGTACTTGAAACTGTGTATAAGTCTAGGGGAATGGGTAATCACCATAAAAGTATTAAAAGATGAGCTAAAGTCAACCATTCACAATTGCTTGGATTCCTTAGAGTTCCACAGAAAGATTCAATAATCAACAAAGAAATGAAATTCGTAGAAGAGTTGGATAACTCTATACTGTACTTGAAACTGTGTATAAGTCTAGGGGAATGGGTAATCACCATAAAAGTATTAAAAGATGAGCTAAAGTCAGACATTCAAAACATAACAAAGACTCAACAACTAACAGAGAAATGAGTCTCTTAGAAAGGTTGGATAGCTCTTGAGAGCAAAAGATTAAGTGTCATATTATTTCCAACTCCTAGATTTTCTTACTTCTTTCTGTAGTTTGCAATAACTTATTAAATTAGTTCCAAGCTTAACTGTAATGCTTCATTAGAATTTTTTAACCCTCGAAGATGCGGATTTCAAGGAATTAGTGAATCTTTATCCCGAAATTCCACAGATCCAGAAACAGTGCGGGATTATATTCCCTGTGTGTGTAATATATTAGTCTATCTACCTTGACTTCAAATATTTTAATAATTTTTTTTTATTTAAATAATAATCTTCGGCAACTTAGATTCTAATAATTTAGCTTTGATAAGAATTTTATGTACATAATTATTTACTATAATGATGGTAATTAGAGATTTTACAAGTCAAAATATTTTGATGAATTAAAATTAATTTCACTATGAACATAACATTATTTAAAATTATTTCAATTACATCAATTTATATATTTCTAGTTTCAATAACGTTTTGGGGTTCACCTGAACAACAACTGGGAAAAGAAGGAGATGATCACATGATTGCATGCAATGTGCGATCAGATCCAACTGCGATCATTTCCTGGTATGTCAATGGAACGCTTATTCTTGACAGTGAGTACTTTCATGTTTGGGTCTTTTTTAATTATGTCATGTTTTTTTAATATCATGTTTTATTTTAAATTTCATGTCACTTCTTTAGATAATTACTTTATTGGTAGTTATATGGGTAATCTTGATTAACTCTAAATACGACAAAGCTTTGCAACTGTGGATGTGTCCTACCCAGTTAAACCATTCAGGAACTAACAATGGGGCATTATAAGTTTTTAAAAGAATTTTGTTTAAAATCCCTTGTTAAGGGGAAATTTTTATCAAAATTATCTCGAATGTTAAAATGCTATGAAGAGGTGTACACAAGTTCATAATCACATTTTCACGTAAGTGTACAAAGAAACTGACTTTCTTGAAGAAAAAAAACCTAAACACTATAGAATGTTTTTTTTTTGTAATCGTATCTTCATCTACTTCTTCAACACTACGCTTGTCGCAGGCCAAGGCTCTCTCTATGAGCCTCATCCATTTTACTCCGTCAATGGCAAAAGATTGCCATTGGTTGAATCTCAGATCCCTATGATCCCCCTGATCTCTTTTAGAATCAACCCACATTGTCCTTCCTCATTTTCGTATTTCTTCAACTTTTTAACACTCACTAATTTAGTTGAGTTTGAGTGATTTTATCTAAAAAGTTGTTCTAGCCATTTGTACAGTTATCATCTGGCAACAAAAATTAACCGGAAATTCTTTAGAAATTACTTAGTTTTTTGTTATGAAAACACAATTTTAGTTTTGTTTATATGTTTTAATATAAATATTTGTAATTGTTGCTATATTAAAAATATGCAGAGTGTTTAATTGATGAAAAATACTTATTTTTATGATTTCATAAATTAATTTGAAAGATAAGAAAGCAGGTACAATATGAGATCTGAACCGAGTATCTCAGATGAGTCCTTCACCTTACATTAGTGATCCAGTCAGAATTTTGTTTTTTATATTAGAAAATATAATTATAGTGATATCAGTTAAATACTTCTTCTCTGCGATTAAAAATCATTTAACTTTCGCAATATTTGATAGTTCACTGCAACCACTCAGGCAATTAAATAAGTTCAGTTCAGAAATATTTTCATAAAATGACTACCAGATATGATATAATTATATTAAATGCTTACTAAAGTTGTTAAAGTCAACTCTCTTGCAAACTGAGTTACTTTAAAAATGAAAATCTCGAGATTACTATTGTTATTTCCTAGTGGTAAAATTTATTCAACTAAATTATTGGATTTAATTAGCTTTCACACTGTTTTTTACATGCATGTACAATGCAGCCACACAATGATTTAATTTTTTTTTCTTTTAAAAAATTCTAAAACATGACTTCAGTAAGAATATTTGCAACATATTTTTCAAGACATTTTTTTTCTATTTAAATATGCTTTTCTTTAAAGGTCCGAAATACACCATAACAGAAGATGGTTTATATATTCGGAGTCTTCGTCCTTCGGATCATGGAAACTACACATGTAGAGCATTTGTTGTTACACCTCATAACTCACAAATGAAGGATCGGGATATTACTCTCAACGTACACTGTACGGTTCCTCTTAGTATTTTATTTAAATAAAATAAGCAATAAATGCACCAATTTCATATTTGTTTATACATTATATAAAATTAAAATTAAATTTTTTTACCTTTATTAATTTTCATTTTTTGGTTTATATGTTTTAGATAAATAAATATTTTAATATCTGCTATTTATAGATATTGTGTTAAGAGTTAAAGATTTTTTTTCTCCTAATGAGTTTTAAGTGAACTATTACGTATCAGATCTTATCACCCTAATTACAATCACCTGACTCTGACTAGTGTTTGATATTGGGATAAAATAAAAAAATGAGTATTATAGTTTGGAGAATTTATGAATTTTACACACAAAAATGTCCCATTCAGCTATTTCTTTTTGCCTACTAAAATTTTCTAGCAACTTTGCCTGCCACAGCAAAGTTTTTAATCCAAAAAACTTTTAAATCTATTTTGTCAAATTAGCCAAACCTAAATGCATAATTTCTTCAATTTTTAAGATTAACGGAAGTCTTACAATTGGATAAACTTTGCAGACAACGAAATAGTATGATAAAATAGTACTCGTTTTAATGCAGTTCATCATTGCTTTATTTTAAAATATATCATAATAACCTCGCCCATTGCCGAAGTGGCATATTAGAGGTTTCAACGCAATGTCAAGAGATTAATAAGATTCGTAAAATATAATAAGATTTTTAAACTGTAATAAGCAATTAAAATTGTCCTATGTAAGATCTATAACATATCGAGCTTTATCTGTAATTTTTTTTCACATTTTAAGTGAAATCCCATAATGTTCTAATTTCATCATCAAAAACAAATATGGTTTAATACAATATTAAAACATAGAATGTGTTTTAAAATAACTATTTAAAGAAGCTCTTGTTATTGCTTACATTCTGTATCATAGCTGCGAACTTAAATCTGACCTTAGTGCAGTAACTTATTTTGTTAACATAAAATGAATAAATAACTAATTATTTTATTTAAATCTAAAAATAAATAATTTTGTGTACAGTAATTTTATTGTTTCAGAAAAATGTTGACTCGTTTTTAAACTGCAATAAGCAGTTAGCATTGCCATTTTCAAATTATATAGCATATTGAATTTTATGTGCAGTTTTTTTGCATTTTAGGTAAAATCGTATAATGTCCTGATTTCATCAACGAAATTCAATAGTTTCCTATGCGTTACATACGGAGAAAAACCACCAAAATCTTCTATGGTTAGCCTAACGGCTAATGGACTCTAACTCCCAATCCGTCTTCCGATGAGGATAATTTACGTCAGCACTGTGCTTGGTTCGACCCGGGTGCGGAATTCGAACCCGGGACATCTCATTGGGAGGCGAGCGCCTTATACCCTGAAGCACCACAGCTCAGAATTTATTATTTAGAGTGTTCCAAAGTTCGATCATCAAGTTCAGAGAAGTAATGAAAAGTGTCAATAAAGAAAAAGCATGAGTTGCAAACAAATTTAGATGGGAAAAAATCACAAAAAACCCATGCAAGGTTTGACGTCACTCTTGGAAAAATAATAAAATATACCATAAACTTACTAATTCCAAAAAAGATTCGTATGATTAATTATTACAAGAGTTATTTGAACTACCATCCTCTGACGTCACCACTAAGTTACAAAAGCACAAAAATGATTTTCTGACGCACTCAGAGATGCCAGTTGCGCTTTTTATGTCTGCCGTACACTGTAAGAAATTCTAGAATAAATTACGGTATAAAGTGCCGCCACTTTAGGTGTATCATCCTTAAAAAACTCATTTTACCGTAAAATTCATTTCTTACCTTAAAATATCATACAATTACTTTTAGAGTGATATTTATTTAGCGTGATTCAATGATTTAAAATGGAAAAATTACTGTATGTCGGATTTTTTGATCCGTAACATGTTCCGGTAAAATGCATTATCTGTAAAAAGTCCTGGCATCCTGAGTACCGGCACTTTTTATCGCAATTTGATCTGGGATTTCCAACAGTATGACTATGAGATGTACGCATGCATCGCATTAAAAAGTGAGTAATATTAATCTCATAAAAAAAATCTCCCGGATTAGGATTGAGTGTGTGTGGGTCAGCACACCCAATCCAATTACTTCCAATCTGTATGCCTAGGACCATCATGTATGTCCAGGACTATCATGCGTCATGCATAGTTTAGAAGCGCTGATAAAGCGAATCTGAGCAATAAATCACCTTTCTTCCTTTTTAGATTCGAGGTCTAAATGCATTTTTCCTGATTTTTAATATCTCGACATGGTTTGAAACCTCGTGTTCTATGGCAAGTTTTCCATCTCTTGATGCTTGATATTAATTATTTGCCTTAGACAATCCCACTTTGGAACACTCTGAGTAAACAAGCGCCGTGATTAGAGAACATTTCAGAATTTATGCAAACCCTTTCTAAATGTAAATATAAAATGTAAGTGTGTACAGCGAAATTATCATTAATAGAATTCAGAATTACAGAGACCCCTTCTTCACAGATAGGCCTGTCTGGCATTCCAATCATATGGAAACAGCATATGGAACAGCAGGATCTAGCTCCAACTTGACGTGTGCTGCTCATTCACAACCCCCTCCAGTGTTTGAATGGTTCAGAGAGAGACAACTGCTTGGGAACAGCAAAATTTATAAAATTTTAAACAAAAAATGGAAAAGTATTCTTCAGGTAGTGTATTATCGATGTTTCATAATTTTGATGTTACTTTGAATGACCGAAATTGGTGGTCGTTACTTCCACCGGTGACTGCTGACAATCACATAATAGCTTTGGTAAATGTTCGAAATGTGTACTAGGTCAAGTTTAGTGCCACTGCCCGGTATACATTTGCCCGGCATGTCCTACAGCAATGTTTTTTTTAAGGTCAAGTGCCACTGCTCAGTACACATTTAACCAGTACTCCGAACACTGGTGTTTTTCCTAACTTATCCTCAGCAGATATTAAAATATCTAATGAATATAACAATATCAACGAATAAATTAATATCAAATAGGATATAACAAGTATTTCGGACATTCACCAAACCAACAATATGTGGTTGTTGACATTCACTGGCAAAAGTCGACATTCTCTTGATTTTGGTCAATCACTGCAAAATTGATATTTTAGTTCCTATCAGTTGATAAAATAACTTTTTAATAAAAAGAGCACGTGTTGAAAGTTGAATTATTTTTAAATCAAAAAAGAAAATGCGAATGAAACTTAGTTTTGTTCTCTTTTTCTTCAACTTAAAGATTTGCAAAAAAAAATTGAAAGCTGTTTTTTCACAGGGAGCGACTTTTTTTCACGTTTAATAATAGTTTCACATTCATAAGTTGTTTATCACAAAAAACATTAAAAGGTAAATACATGAATAAATATATTTTAGAGTAATAACTGTTGTCATAACTAACTTTTGGAAAATTGAAAAATATACTTTAAATTTTTATATAATTTCATCACAAATAATACATAAAATGGAATTTAAAATTTTTAGAAAATCATTTAAAAGTTATTAATAAAATAGTATTAACAATTTCATTCAAAATACATTTTTAAAAAATTAAAAATACTTAGTTTCTAAAAAGTTCTATTCAAAATCATTTCTAAAAACCGTTTCTATTTAAAAATTTGATGAATGTGTCTGATAACAAAATCTTGTATAAAAGCCAGTAG